TGGCCTTGCTGGAGGTGTGGTCTTGTTGGAGAAGGTGTGTCATTAAGAGTGGGCTTTGAGGTTTCAAAATCCCATCTCTGCAAAGATGTCAGTCGTCAAAGCAAGACATCTTGAATAATGCCCTGAGTGATAGCAGACCCAGATGACTTTGAATGAGGCTGGCCCCAAGATGATCCCTGTTCTCCCACAGAAGCATGGAATGTAAATGATCCTTGGTGTAAGTCATTGAATTGGGAAATGGTGGTTTATTATAGAGACATAGAAAAAAATGGTGTCTAGCAATAAGATTTTGAATTTATAAAATCTGGAGACAGACAAGTCATTGAAAGTGTCATCACCATACATGACACAGACGTTTGCTCAAACATGTCTGCCTGCCACTATGAATGTGTTCAATTACATGGAAGTGACATTAAAACATAGACCTGGTAGAAATAACATCACCCACCATAATTGTGAATGGGTCACATCTTGTCAGGCCTTAAGCAAAAAGACTAAGTAAGGTTCCAGGAGGTAAGGGGATCCAGCCAGACCTCCTTCACATTAAAGCTGCAGCATCAGCAACTCTAGAGCTCCCAACCTGACACTTTAGATCGCAGGTGTTTTGAATTGCCAGCCTCCTTGATCACATGGACCAATTCTACCTCACCCTTCCCAACTCCCTCCCCCACACTACTTGCATTTATTTCTCTGGAGATCCTGTGACATCAGCACTGACACTGGATGTCAGACAGAAGACAAAAGGTCTCAAGGAGAGACTATCATGCTGACTTGATGGACACACAGGAAGTGGTTGTTAGAGGCTGGAAACAAGGCAGCCCCTTGCAGAAGTGTTACAAGATGTTGTAACCCTGTCAACTGCAAAAGTGAAGATGCATGACACCCCTCAGGAACCCAAGGCTTTGCCTCAGAAGCCTTAGAGTAGAATATTGAAAGCCAAATTATTTTTCCCCTTTTTAGTTGTACAAGAGAAAGCATAGATACAGCAAGGGAAGAATTCTGGATTCTCAGTGCAGAATCTGAAGCAAACACTTCCAGTCAGCTAGGTTTGAAAATAAAATTGCCATTCTCTGTTTCTTGATAAGGGTATCAAAATAAGAAACAACTGCAAGATAATGATGAAAATGTCAGAAAAAAAAGTGTTCGCAGGGCGGAGGTCTCAGTGATGTGGCTGCAAGGCACTTTGTGTATGTGTGTGTAAATATTATCTAGAAACATGAAGAACCCCCAAACACATATGTAGGTAACTCAAAAGAAAGGGTGAAGATCTGAACAGAATTTAAATGGACAAAAGTCAGACAAGAACTAAGGCTTGCTGACAAACAGGGAAACTTAGGTAATGTTTTTCTATTCTTCTAACTAAAAAAAAAAAGTTTAAGATATTCAATAATGGTCAAATTGTGGAGAAGTAGGCCCTGTAAACTGATACAGGAGTGTGAAATAATAAAACTATTTCAGAAAAGATTTGGAAACATCTGGAATTCAAAAACAACTGAAACTTAAAATATACACTGTGGTAGTCTGAATGAAAATGATCCCCGTAGGCTTATGAAGAGTGGCACTATTAGGAGATGTAGCCTTGTTGGAGGAAGTGTCACTGTGTGTGGGCTCTGATGCTTCAGAAGCTCAAACCAGGCCAACTGTCTCTCTCTCTCTTCCTGCTGCCTGCCAAGCCTGGAATTCTTGGCTCCTTCTCCAGCACCATGTCTGCCTGTGTGACACCCTGCTTCCCACCATGATGATAATGGACTAAGTCTCTCAACCAGCCCCAGTTAAACTTTTTTTCCTTTATAAGAGTTGCTGTAGCCAGGCTCACGCCTGCCTTTAATCCCAGCACTTGGGAGGCAGAAGCAGGCAGATCTCTGTGAGTTCGAGGCCAGCCTGGTCTACAGAGCAAGTTTCAGGATAACCTCCAAAGCAATACAGAAAAAACCCTGTCTCTAAATACAAAACAAACAAATAAGTTGTTGTCGTCATAGTATCTCTTCCCAGCAATAGAAAACCTAACTAAAACAGTCATAATATCTCATTTTACCCAGGAATTCAATCTCTGGATCTGTCATACATAACACTCCAGTAGAAACGTGAAGGCAGAAGTTGAGGATGTTCATTGCAGAAGGAAGGTTGCACAAGAATTGGAATCCTGTTACTCCTCTGCCATTAGTAGCCAGATCACTGCCTGGAACACAGTAGGGGCTCAAAAACACTTATTGAATGAATGAATGGGACTGAAAAATTATAAAATGGGCCAGCAAGGTGGCTCACTGAATAAAGGGGATTGCTGCCAAGCCTGAACACCTGAGTTTGATTTCTAGAACCTACACAGTGTGGGAGACAAAGCTCATACAAGTTGCCCTCCAGCTGCCCACATGCTCCCCAAATGTAATAGAGATATGTAATTACAAATTGGAAGTTAAATGTTTGTCAACCAGAAATGATTACATCTACCATATATTAGAATGAGGTAGATTTTTGTGCATCAATATGAAAGACCCCAACTATTAAGTGTTGGGCTAACAAAATTGCTCAATAAATTAAAAACATTGTAACTTTCAGCATTGGACTCAATTATGGGACTGTGATTTAATACACAAATGATCCAACTTAATCTGTGTTTGTCACTGTGGAGAGGTGTCTGAAACACTACATTTACATAGCAGTAACATTTCGAGCATTTACCATGACAAGATTATTCCTCTTAGTCCTCTTCATTTCTCCAGGTGCTGGCTATAGTCATTAATGTTTCCATTTTACATGGAGAGAACACACTAGAGCAAATATACATTGAGGCCCTGTTCCAAGATGGTACTGTGACAGAACCAAGATTCAAGCTCAAATGATCTGGCTTCAGAGTTCATATTCTCAAACCATGGGAGGATAAAAGTGCCATGGGTTCAGGCTAAACTTGTTGACTCGTTATGCTTATAATTATTGTTTCTTTCCTGTTTCAAAGGTCTCTCTACACATGGCCTATAAACCTCACAGCCACTCTACATACAAAGCATGCATAGCAGTTAGTTTAGTGCCTTGGGAGTTCAGTGCCTACAACCACGTGTAGACAGTTTACTCAAAGTTTATTTTGCTCATCTGTAAAGAGGGTATATCAGTCGTAACTCCCTCTATGTGATTGTCTTCTGTTCTAGTCTCTTCCATTCATTCATCTACTGTGATGCTGGGGATGAACCCTGGGCACTGTGTAAACTAGGCAAGAACCCTGCCACTGAGACACAGCTCAGCTCTGTTGTGGCTGCTAAAGGACTACACAATTGGTTATTTTTAAGTGCCTGGCACACAATATCTATCACTAATCTATTCACATAAAATATGCACGTGAGCCTGCACACATGTGTATGTGTGTGTGTGTTGTGTGACGTCTGATAAGATGAACATTATAATATTAACAGATTAGGCCAATAAAGTGGACCAGTCAGTAGGGATGCTTGCTTCCAAACCCAAGGACCTGAATTTGATTCCCAGAATGTACATTGTGAGGGACAGACCTGATTCCATGACCCTCACATGTATATGGTGGGACATGTGCACGAGAGCACATGAGTGTGTGTGCGCGCACACACACACACACACACACACACACACACACACACATTAAATACGTGCAATGTTATCAGTTAATCCTGTTATCTTCAAATTGATTATGATTTGACTAATGCAAATAATTAAATACTTACTAACTGCTTATACATGCATTTGAATGGACAGTTTGAAAAGAGCTTGCCAATCTGTCAATCTACACTCCACAGGGTTAATTCTAAGCACACATCATGCCAATTCCTCACATCCAGTTTGCTAATCATGGTGGATTTACTCAAAATGATTGAACAGCCATTATCACTGAAAAATCTGTAAGCAAAATATTCATCAGGACTCTGAGATTGTTTTGACATGAACATTTTCAAGTAAGACCAAGACCCAAACCACTGAGCTTCCGGGAAACTTGTGCAGCTCAAGGCAGAATGTTAAACTGAGCTTCTGGGCATGCCTTTCCAGCCGGTCGTGCTTCCTGTTTGACTTCAGAAATCAGTTCTATACTAGGATGGGGGGTGGGAGGTGCAAAAACGCCCTCCTTCCCTTTGGGGCAGGTAGTAGGTGCAAGTGGGTATGAGGGCTGGTTTCTATGGGCTGATTCAGGCGCTGTTCCCAGGAATCTGCATAGGTTCACCAAGCTGATCCAGTTATCTGATGGGTACTATTTCAGTTTTATAGTCTGTGATTGTTTGTTTTACTAAATATCAGGTACAAAAAGGATGAGGATGCTGTTTGGGCTTGTGTTTTATTTGGTTTGTGTTTTAATTCATTACTGTATTTAATTTAAGGCTGGTCTCCCTGAGCGACCCAAGCCTGTCCCAGAATTTACAATGTAGCAGGGCAGCCCTAGCCAACCTCCAACTCACAGCAATCCTCCTGTACCAGTCTCCTTAGTGCTGGAGTTACTCGCATGAACTACTACTCCACGATGCTGACTTTATAAAGATAAATAGAACTCCAGGCAGGCATCTGTCCTCTCTGACTCCCTCCACCCCCACAGCATGCTCAGGTCAAGTGTGACCTGTGACCATAACTTTCTGGGCATGGAGTGTGGCAGATCGAAACCACAAGTCACATGGCAGTGTAAAGTCCCTGTGCCTGCTAGTCATATTCTGTCCCTGCTCAGACTCCCGCCATGGGAGGGGAGCATCTTGGCAGAACTCAGCACGGATCAGCCACCCCTTTGCAGGCACTACAACCTCCCACACACAGCCCCAGGAGGCAGGGTTCTGGTAACTTGCACAGGGGGCTTAGGGCTCATCCGACTCCTTTTCAGCGCTGCCTCTGGACTCCCAGCTGACCCGCAATACACGATTCTTTGTTTGGGACAGTCTGGACGCTCCCTCCACCCCCACCCCTCGCGCGAACTCCAGCTGGGTCACAGCCTGCCTCCCCTCCCCGGTGTCCAGCTATGCACCGCGCCCAGCAAGTGAGTGCCTCAAATGCCAACTCACCTCATCTCAGGCTGGAGGATTTGCGTGTAGATGAGACACCGTCCCAGGAAGATCTCAGGAAAGTGCTTCGTGGTAGGCTCCCCTCTCCACACCAGAGGTGCTCGGGGCCAGAGAAAGATGACCGCGATCACTATGGACGCGATCAGAAGTATGAGACCTACTCCGAGACAGATCTGGGCTTTCCTAGAGAGGCGGCAGCAGGGTCTGTCCCCAGACACCTGGCTAAATTCATAGTTGGCCATGGGGCTCCTGGAGACCAGCCTAGGCTAGGCGGGAAGAGGGCTCAGTGCTGACTGGGTGGAAGCCTGCCCCTCCTCCTTTCTTTCACTTGCCTTTTATCTGTTTCCTTTCCCACCCCTTACCCCTGCTTCAAAGTTGCGCGGGTGACTGGACCAATAAGGTTTTAAGGATGTCAATAGACACTCCAGCTGCTTTCTTCCAGACCCTGGAGCCCAGAGCCTCCTTCTCCCGAAGCCGGTACCTTAGCCTCTTCAGGTGCACAAACAGCTTGGGCATACTCCTGGGCAGCACCTTCTGTCACTTGTACATTTGACACTTTGGCTACCTGTGCTCCCTGGAGGGTAAGATCTGCCCAACATTCATTCTCTCTCCTCCCCCCTCCCCCCTTCCAGTTCACCCAATGGCTGGCAACGAATACCCTACCTCTACTTCTGAACTTTGATACAACCCTGTCCCAACATCTTTAAAACGGCAGCTTCAGTCTGTTTCTCCTCTCCAGGGTCTCACTTCAAACCCAGTCCTGGCTGTTAAAGTGTTAAATTAACCCGCCTCTCTGAAGCAGCTATTCACATTCATTCCATCATGGCTTGCTATGATTAGATGGGCTGATATCTCCTAGGTGTTTAGCATAATCCCTATGCCATAATAAGCGACTGCTCAGCAAATGTTAAGTTTTTACTGCTTGCTCAAGAGAGCTGCTGAATTGATGGGATTTTATACTTGATGGGATATTTGCAACACATCTCATGCAGTAATGCTTCATCCCAAGTGGGAACCCCAAAATACAGTGTCTTTTCCTACCTCCCCTCCCAGGATATTTGCAACACATCTCATGCAGTAATGCTTCATCCCAAGTGGGAACCCCAAAATACAGTGGCTTTTCCTACCTCCCCTCCCAGGAGGACATCTATTACTTAAACAGAGGCTTGTTACATAACAGATCATAACACAGGAGTTCCATGGGACACTCTTTTTCCAGGCGGAGGGCTTTTTAGATGCAAGAGCTGAGGCTGGAAAGCCCCTTGTCCCTTTTTAAGGTATAGAAAGGCAGTCATTGTGGCTAGACCAGAGAATGGGAAGGGAGGCAAGTTGTGAGCTGCAAGTCTCTGTAGCTATGTAAGACAGGAAGACTTTTTTTTGTGTGTGTATGCATTTCATTTCTTAAAAATTTTTATTGCCATTTTGTTTATTTATTTGGTGTGCATCTGTGTGTGTGTGTATGAACATATACCAAAGCATAAAAATGGACGGTCAAAGGACAACTCTGAGGAGTTATTTGTCTCCCTATACCATGTGTGTCCAAGAGGTTGAATTCAGGTCATCAGGCCTGACAACAGAGGACTGTACCCTTTGGGTCATTTCACCAGCCCACCCCTCAGTATTAAACCAGTTAAGGTCAGTGAGCCACCTGTCTGAGAACTGATCGAAGGAAGGATTCTACTGCCAGCTATAAAATTATGAAAGCTGGGATGAAGTAGCTCTAGTTTGGGGGGAAAAGCATACATGGAGAATTTTGTTCAGATGCAGTAAGTTTGAGATGTCAAAGGAGACAAGCACAGAGGAATGACAAGCAACCACTGTTATAGACCGACCTGGTACGTGCTGTTTCTTCAGCTGAGCTTCAGGCTTGTAAAAAGGACCATAAAGTCACAGAGAGACTGTGAAACAGGCAGAAGTTTCAAAGTTTAGAGGCACATGCTTGAGGCAGGAGCCAGAAAAGTGCTGGAATCCCAGAAAAGGGAGCTTGGAAGGGTGGCTTCTGAACAAGAAGGAAGAACAGCTCAGTTCTTCTTGACAAAAGGGAACTTTAAAAAAAACAAAACACATTTTGTGTGCACGCATGTGTGCGTGTGTGTGTGTGTGTGTGTGTGTGTGTGTGTGTGTGTGTGTGTTCATGCTCATATGTGGTGTGCTCACACAGGCCCAAATAGGGCATCAGGTCCCCCAGAGTTGAAGTTGTAAATGACTGGAAGCTGCCCCATGTAGATGCTAGGAGCGAACTCCAGTCTTCTGCAAGAACAGCAAACACACAAATGCTGATCCTTCTTCCCATGCACAAGAGAGAACATTTTCAGAGAATGAGAAGGACATAGCCTAGCACAGAAGGTTCAAGAGAATGTGTGTGTGGTATCAGTAAGTTAGAGTGCAGCTGTGTTAAAAGGAGGAGTTGTTTGTTGTTTGTTTTTATAATGGCAGAGGAAACAGAGAAAGGATGTAAGTGGACAATGCTGGGCATTACAATTTGGATGTGTAGCACCCTCTACAAGTTCTTGACTTTGAACTCTTGTTACTGGGGCAGGATGCTGTTTTGGAAGGTTATATGCATTTAGGAGGAGAGGCCACAATGGAGGAGCCAAGTCACTGGATAAACGTCTTAAATGCTGTCCCTGACAACTTCCTGTTCAGTTCTGTGCCTCCTGGTTGGTCCTGAAGCGAATCACTCCCCTATGCCACAATATTCTACCAAAAGCATAAAGCCAAGAGATCTCGATCTAAACCCAAGTGAAATTTTCCTCTTTTCAGTGACTCTGTTAGCGATTTTCTCACAGTGATGAGAAAGGAAGTAATACCCTGGGACTCAGGAAAGAGCATCCTGTTCTGAAATTAGATTTATCCCAGCACTTTTGGAGGTTCATAAGCTGACTCACTAGTCCAGTAACACTTGACAAATGCAGGAGAGGGGGAGAGGAATCCAAGGCATGGTGGGGGTGTGGGCGGGAGCTCCAGCCTCTCACATAAAAAAAAAAAAAAAGAGCTGGAGATTGAGACTTTGGGGACTTGGTGATGACACACAAGGATGTTCTCTCCTGATCGCTTCTCCCATGAGCTGAAAAGAAAGCCCCTGTGGGTACAGTGATGTACTGATGGGGACTAATCAGGCTGGGGAGTGGAAGAGTTCTCAGGGTATCATTAAATGGTCAAAAGTTCAAGGAAAGGCCAGTTAGTGAGCTAGTGTGTGTTTGTCCAGCCACACCCACTGCTTAGACAAAAACCGGAAAAAGGACACAGCTGGGTCAGTAATTGTCTGCTAGCAGTGTCAGAGCAGAGCATCACACACTGGGTGGCTTAAGCAAAGGAAATCTGTTGTCTTGCAGTTCTGGAGGCTGGAAGTTCAAGATCAAGGTGTCTGCACAGCTGGTTCCTTCTGTGGCCTCTCCACTTGGCCTTTAGACTGTCCCTTCTTCTGTGTCTGTGTTAGCTGAGGAGGTCCCTGCTGTACAGCCTGTGACCTAATTTCCAGTTTGTACAAAAATGCCTCGTGCTGGATTTGAGTCCACCCTCAGTGATCCCATTTTAATTACTTCTGTACAGGTGCCTGGGGTTGGGGCTTAGATGTGAGAATTGTGGGAGTCCTTAACACTGGGTAAACACTGAGCTTAAAATGTGAGCAAGGGTAGGGTTTAAATAGGGGGCGTGGCTCCTAAGTCCCACAGAAACTGAAGTGAGAGCAAACGGAAGATGAGAAGCAGAGAAAGGACAAGATGTTACTGCCACGATTCTGATGGGACTGCAGGGTTAGAAGTGCAGGGACATCTGTGCCTCTGTGACTTCACAGGTCAAATGCAACATTAAGTTCCTCCTCTAACCTGCATCCTTCCTGGACACACAGCTGCTCAAGCTGGGAACTTCCAAGGCCCTCCTCTCCCTCAACCCACAAAACCCAGGGGAGGTTGGTCCCTGCTGCCTGCAGATGAGTCACAAAATACTTCCTTCTTCCTCTCCAATCCAACTTAATCCACTCTCTCCTCCTATGCACCACAGCTGCGGAGGTGGTCCAGATGTCATTGTTTTTAAGATGTAATTTCCCCAACATGACCATCTTTCTCACTTCCCACAGCATGCAGACCCCTGTCAGCTTATCCCTCTTCCACAGTCACCTTGGTCTCCAACCTCCATGGCTCCCCAGTCAGCCCAAGCTCTCCTCTGCCTTTGCTTGACCTTCACAGGTGCCCCTTCTGGTCTCAGGCTCTCCAGGAAACCTTCCCAAGTGGAGGCAGGTATATCGGGAACTTTGGTGGTTGCTGGGACAAAAGTATCTTCCGAATAGGAAGGGATGCTGTGGGCCCAAGACTTGAAAGTCTTGTCCACCATGGTGGAGACTATATGGAGACAGCTTGGGGCAGACCTTTTGCATGTTCAGTCAGGAAGTGTAGAGCAATGGGAGCTAGCACTCAGTTGGCATTCTCTTTATTTAGACTGGGATCCCAACCCATAGCATGGTGCAAACATTTAGGGGGCATCTTGCTACCCCAATTAGAAGATTCCCAATCTAGTACACGGGGGAGGGCCTAGTTTCAAGCCCCAAAAGTAACAGACTTTGATGATCCCTCATGGGAGGCCTCACCCTCCCTGAGCAGTGGATAGGGGGTGGGACAGGCGGTTGGTGGGGGGATGGGAGGACAGGAGGAAGAGGGAACTGGGATTGGTATGTAAAATAAGATTGTTTTAAATTTAAATAAAATTAATTTAAAAACAGAAAGAACATTCCCAATCTAGAAAAATACCCCCACCCCCATAGACATGCCCAGTGTCTTGTCTCCTACATGGTTTTAGAGCTGAATTACCATCACAGTAGGTCTCCAAGTGTACACTCTCCTGCATGAATAACACAGATGCCAGCAGACCCCCCTGAAACAAGACAGGTCTGAGAGGCTTAGAAATGAGCTACCCAGACACCAAACACAACTCTGGAGTTTCTTCTAAGCTAGTGTCCCAGAATTCAATTTAAAGTCCTGAAGTGCTCACTGAACAAATGAGTGAGTGCATGACTCCCCCAGTTTACTTTGGGCATCCATTTTTTCCCCCTGAGGCCTGGAGAGTTATTCCCACAAGCCAGATCTGAACTAGAGATAGAGAGGCGGAAGGCAAAATGCTTGCCTTTGTCTCCTTCCCTTATCTCTGATCCGGTTGCACTTCCCAGGCTCTTCTGCCCTTCCCCCCACCCCATCCCACCTGCTTGTTTTCTTTCAAGTTGCCCAGCAAGTGCAAAGCTCAAAACCAGTTACTGAGTAATAGCGCTTCACCTCCTGCCTTGTAAAATGAAATGAGACCTGCTCCCAACAATTTCACTTAAAAAGACTATTGCCATTTTCTTTTCAAAGACATGTTTCCTTTTTTTATTTGTATGTATGTGTGTGAGCCTATGTGTCTTCATGTGCACCAAGTATGTTCAGAAGCCTGCTACAGGTCAGAAGAGGACACC